GTCTTACACTGCTAAATTAGGACGGCTAGCGCAGATAGCCCTCGTGTAGCTTTGCGCGAAATTCAAAACAAACAAACCCTTGTAATGGCGGTGTCCGTCGGCTGGTCGTCGCCTTCCTTCTAGTCAGTAGTTTAAAATTATTCTGATTTCATTAAGTTTTTCTTCAGGCTTGAGAGCGCTAAAGTTTTACTGTCCTGGGTGCAGTTTTATTTTTGAAATTTATGTTTGGTATAGTTTAAATGTATCTCAGTGTATTTCAGTGCTAATAAAAACTCTAAAATCCTTGTTGTTTCACTCTTATAGCTGCTAGGGTCGAGGGAAACTACTTGAACCTGACTCATATTACGAGGACGCACATGGGGGCTTATTTGTGTATTGCTTCCAATGGAATCCCCCCTTCGGTCAGCAAGCGCATCATGTTGGAGGTTAACTGTAAGTCAATACTTCCCGATAAATATATGATATTTTTCACTGCAGTAAAGCACTTTATAACACAAAACACAAAGGCTCATTAAGGAGAGTCTTTAAAACTAATTGACGTGATTTTAAGTGTTCTAAGTTTTATACACGTCGGTTTAAGATCATATACTTAATGTATGGGGTGATGCCAAAACTCTTACACCGCCATGATACGTTTGAGTTTCATTAACTTTCTTAGGTGCCATTACTCGCTTGGGATGTCATTGACAGTACAATGACGTGTGGAAGTAATCCTGTTGTGACACTGTATCGTGATATCAGGGGTACTTACTTCGAGCAGCTGGAAGGGCGGGACTCAGAAAAATCATAGTTGTAGGTCATTTTTGTATCACCCTGTATGTCAACATCTAACTCCTGCACTATCTTCAACTCTTTAGTTCGAGCTCATGGGTTGTTAGTACTACTCTGATGTGATTTGACATATCAGTCAAATTTGAATTAGTGGGTACTTTAGCCATTTCTTCCTACAACCTTTACTTATAAAACTCTTTCATCATGTTTTTTAAACGTGGCTTTTAAAGTCTGAATATCAAATATATCTATGAAAAAAGATTGTTGATGGTCTTTGGTTTTTACCACGTACACTACTTCTAAATGATTTAATAATCAGCATGAAAGACTGCGTTGTCTGAGTCTTTGGTTTTTACCACGTACGCTACTTTTAAATGATTTAATAATCAGCTTGAAAAACTGCGTTGTCTGAGTCTTCGGTTTTTACCACGTACACTACTTCTAAATAATTTAATAATCACTTTGAAAGACTGTGTTGTCTGAGTCTTCGGTTTTTACTACGTACACTACTTCTAAATGATTTAATAATCACCTTGAAAGACTGCGTTGTCTGAGTCTTCGGTTTTTCCACGTACACTACTTCTAAATGATTTAATAATCACCTTGAAAGACTGCGCCACCATCCTCAGGTGAACACCGAAACAAGTAGAGTTTTTGTAGGACCGGTCCCTAGTTTTAATAAATCTTATTGTGCAATTATTTTAACGTTATACGCTTTTTAATTATGCATATGTATATGGACAAGTCGTTAATTCTGATAAAAAATAATTACATATAACTCTTTCCTTCTCTTCCAAACTATAGTTCCTCCTAAAATACGAGTACCCAATCAGGTCATCGGAGCTGCTCCAGGCAGTGACGTAATATTGGAATGTAAAGTTCAGGCTTGGCCGCGGCCTATGACTTCCTGGGTGAGAAATGAAGATACCCTCCTTCTTGCAAACTCTAAATACCAACTAACAGAGGCGTACGATTCCTACAACATCGACATGAAACTAAAAATCAATAATCTTCAAAAAGAAGATTTTAGTGCCTATAAATGTGGGGCTAAAAACGCATTAGGGGACAAGGAAGGATTTATCCGTCTTCACGGTGAGTTCATCATTCCCTTGTTTTCATTTCGCTACAACTAAGTATTATGTATATATATATATAACAGAAATTATGCTGGTGAACGTAAGCATAGCATTTGTAAAGCCTAATCTCGGAAAACCATGTTGATGTTTATTTTAATGCAAAGCCACGTTAGGCTATCTTCTGCTATGTCCACCTGAATTTTACCGTTACGTTAAAAAGTCCGTAAACTTACCACTGGCCCACCGGGGGAGGAGGAGGGGACGAAACCGTATTGAATGAACACCACGTCTTTATCCGCACGATACTTTTGATATATTCAAACTGGCCCGGCATGGCCAGGCGTTA